AAAAAAGATTTGCAATAGGATAAGACACGTTTATGCACTAGCGTTCCAAAAGTGGAAGGTAGCGGTCAAGCGTGAGGGGGTCGAGCCACCTTAAACTCACTTGGATCCAAGATAACAAGTGAAAGTATGACAAACATTGCAAGGCAGATCGAGGAAGACTCGATAAGGAAGGCAAGATTGCCGCCGTGAATATAGCTTTGAAACAGGCATGCAGGAAAAATAAATGGAATTTTATCAAGCATGGAAATATCAAAGTAGAGCATTTGAACCGCAGTGGACTACGCCTCTCCAAAGCTGGCACCTCTCTTCTCGCTAATAATTTTGATGCACATATGAATAATCGTTAGGTAGTTGCCGTCTGGGAGTCTGATGTCCTTTCTTTTTCCTCAAATCTCAATCCTACTCAAGCCAATTCGACTAATGGTAAGTCTGGAAAATCTCTGAAATGTGGGCGCGGTCTAGTCATGTTATGCTTGAACATAAATAGTTTATTAGCTCATATTGATGAACTTAAAATCTTTCTCCAGGAAAATGGTGATATAGATATTTTAGCAATAAATGAAACCAAAATCGACCAAACAGTTTGTAATAATGAGATTTACCTACCTGACTTTGAAGTTGTAAGAAAAGATAGACAACTAAATGGTAGGAATGGTGGTGGGGTTTGCATTTATTTCCGAAAAAATATCAACTACCAATTCCGTGAAGACTTGAATTCAGATAACCTCGAATGTCTGAGTGTTGAAATAACTAAACCGCGATCAAAGCCGTTTCTAATAAGTACCTGGTACAGACCCCCTCAGTCTCCTTCAGATATCTTTCGACATTTTGAAGTATTTATTGAAAAAATCGATGCTGAAAATAAGGAATTCTACCTGCTGGGAGACCTCAATTGCAACATATTACCAGATAGTTACTTATAACCCTAATTCAAGCCAACTCACCAACATTATGGATATGTCGAAGAGCCAACGAGAATAACTAAAAGTTCGAAAACCCTAATTGTTCTGTTTCTCGCGAAAACGCAACTGGAGAAATTTCATAGCCCAATCCATGACTATGAGACATGAGCTATTGTTCAGCTTAGAGAGATGGTCTTGTTTTGCACATTCTTGGTTCACTGTTCTCAAAATATGGGCTTTCCGCAGGAAGATAGATTCGGTGGCTTTTTCGACGTCATAAAGCAAATCTCCTTGCTGTTCCTTACCGTAAAACGTTAGCGTGCTGCCATCGTTGATTACCTTCTTTATCTCACGGACAGTAGGTGACGTCCTCACGCTGATCGTGAGTACACTCTTCTTCAAATTCTGAATCTTCAGGGTCACTAAGTGCGAACTTTCGGCAGTGATCAGGGCAGTGACTTTCATCCTCCTGGCAGTGGCACTGGTACTCCGTCTTGAAATATTTCTTTCCTTCTCGTGTGGCGATCTTTTTTTTTTAACTTTTCTGATGTGTCTTTTTCCAGCCTCAATGAATCAACTTCTTCAACGATTTTAGCAAGTCGATCAAGACCAGCTGCACCTTCGGATGTTAAGTTGTCAAGACCGTTCATAGACTTTTGTTGGAAGTTTCTGTTACATCTAGGATACGAAACAGGGTTGCACGGCTGAGTGGCTAAGTTTGCTCTTCCTCAAAAAATTGTATGTACTGTTTAATCATAGTTGACCTGGTGACTTTGCAAATTATATTAGACATGATAATTTTTTCTCCGCTTTCAAGTTTTAGCTTACTCGTTCCAAAGGCCACATCCTGATAAAAGTAAGGCCGATTTATAAAATCAACGAAATGTTCGACCTTTGCGGCAGGTAATCTTACACGATGAGAAGACGACTTCTCGATTAGTGAAACCCGGTACACACTCTTTTGCGTGCGCTCTAGCCCGTTTGATTTGCCACTCCGTTAATTTTGCATAAGTCTCGTGCATTTTCTGTACCCGGAAGGGGGGTGGGGGGACTCCCTTATGAAAGGGGGCGGGGGTCCTCGTCGTCCCTTTTAGGGTTTGAAATCAGGGTTTTGGTCCCGCTTAGGGTGATAACGACGGGAATGCGCACCAACTGAATTTTGTGGTCCCCTTTAGGGTATAACATCTACAAAAAGGCAAGTGATTTGTATATGACGACGTAAATCATAAATTCGTTAGAGCTGTTGTATTTTCGATTCTTTCTTTATCTTTGTTTCCTTGAATAAACTAAGCAGCATTCGACTAAGCTGTGTTGTATTTTCGATTCTTTTCTTTRCATGTTAACACAAACTATCCGTCTCGACTTACTATTCTTCCCGCTCCTTCTCTCACTCTCTCTCTCGATTTACACGTGCGAATATGCAAATTAAGTTCATAGTCTGTTACGTCATGATCTCGCACACACTCCCCACCTGACGAAAGTCAATAGATTTATTCTTAAACTTTAACGAGTAATAACAGTGTCTATTTCTCTATCATCCACGAAGGTGATATCTGTTGCTTGTTCTTCTTTTCGGACTTCMTTTTCTTCAAGATCCTTAGCTCGAACTTCGATAGGGTAYAACTTCGTTAGTGGTCTTCTCAGTTCCCATTGTTTTCCTTCTTTTGTAGTTGTCTTTACGATAGCAGCTCGGTTCTTTCCATCTCTTCCTTCGATTAACTTCACGATTCTTCCAATCTTCCATGTTTGTCGTGGCGTCTTCTCTTGATAAATRGATACTATATCTCCTTCCCTTGCACCACTTGATTGATTTATTCTCTCTTTGTAACGGTAATGTTCTCTTAGCTCAGTGAGGTATTCCTTCTGCCACCTGCACCGGAATTGATCCAATAATTTCTTTAAATATAAACTTCTTTTGTTGAGATCTTTTGGTCCATCGTCACTGAATACGTGTGACTTGTCTGGTTGTGACAAAAGACGTCTTCCTATGACCAGGTGTGATGGTGTTAAGACTTCGTCGATCTCGTCATAAACATAAGTAAGGGGTCTTGAATTCAGAACTCTTTCGATTTCTATCAACGTTGTGAGAAACTCTTCGTAATTAAGTTTTGCACGATGAAATTGTTTCCTCAAGGGTCTCTTGACTGATTGTACTAATCGCTCGAAGAAACCTCCCCACCATGGGGCTCTCTCGACATTGTACTTCCATTCGATATTCTTTTCACGCACAAACTTTTTGAGTTTTCTGTCCTTAAATGTCTTGCCATTGTCTGATAAAATGAATACTGGTGTTCCACGTCTTCCGATGAATCTCTGGAGACTTCTTATCAATGATTCTGCGCTTAAATCAGGTACCAAATCCAAATGAATAGCTGTACTTGATGCACAAGTGTATAACGCTATGTACGCTTTATTCAATTGTCCACCAGCATAGATGTCCTTAACGTATACCGGCCCAGCAAAATCGATTCCGATCCTCGTAAATGCAAAATCGTCAGACAATCTGAAGCTTGGAAGCGGAGGTGGTAATGGTGCTCGGTATGGGGTTCCTTGTATTCTCTTRCAAGTAACACACTTAGACAGATATTTCTTGACAACTTGTCTGCCCTTTATGATCCAAAATTTCTTTCGTAATTCTGTCAAAGTTTCCTAACTCCATTGTGTTTCACGTTCTGATGACAATCCCGTATTATCAATTTCGTCAAGTAATGATCGCTTGGCAATAAGATTGGATATCTTGTATCATATGGAATGGACGCGTTTTTTAGTCTCCCTCTGCATCGAACGATGTTTTCGTCGTCCATGAACAAGTCTAACGAGGTTTGGAGTTGTCTAAATTTCTCAGAGGAGAGTCTAATGGAGTAATGCATGATTCTTATCCATAACTTTTCTGCATTGTTCATTTCTTGGATACTAAGAGTTTCGTTGACTATTGGTTGATTGAGTTTCTTCCTTCGCAGGCTATTGATAAAACGTGTAACATAAGCTGTAATTCTTAGGACTCTTTGTAAGTCACTATACTTCTCAACRGGTATAAACAACTTAGGTTGCGCTTCTGGATCTTTCGCCATGCTGAGATTGACGGTAATAGATTCATCCGTTTCGGTCATAACATTCTCTTCTTCTACCTGTTCCTTAGAAGTGGCAATTACATCTTGCGACGGCCACAGGTCTGTTTTTCCTGATAGGAATTGTGGTCCTTTAAACCACTTATCGTTATTGATCAACTGTGAAACTAAAGTTCCTCTGGAGGCAAGGTCTACTGGATTATCTTGTGTTGGACAATATCTCCACCATTCAGCTCGTGTCAATTGTCTAATCTCCTTGATTCTGTTTTGTACATACTGTTTCTGTTTCTTTGCTCCGTTCTTTATCCAGTGTAATACAACCGCAGAGTCTGACCATAACTCAAGTACATCAATAGGCAATACACTTTCCAATGATTTCTTAATCTGATCTGCTAATCGAGCTGTTACAAGACTAGCTTGGAGTTCTAATCGTKGAATGGTTTGTTCATTCATAGGAGCAATTCTTGTTTTAGAGGCAATAAGACAACAATGAACTCCATAAGGATACTCGATTCGTAGATAGACAGTAGATCCATAAGCTCTTTCTGATGCATCTCCAAATGCATGCAACTGTGCAGATATTATTTCCTTCTTTGACATGGTAGGATCTATACAACATCTGCTGAGCTTAACTGCTTGTGTCTTGTTCAAGTCAGAAATAATCAAGTTAAAGTTCTTAACCATATCCTCGTGAAGTGGTTCATCCCAATTGAAGTGTCTCTTACAGACCTCTTGGAATAGAATCTTCAGTAAAAGAACAACAGGTGATACAATTCCTAAAGGATCATAGAATTTTGCAATTGTACTCAAGATGATCCTTTTTGTGACCTGAGTTGAATCCAATAAGTCTTCAGTCACTTTATCGACTTTCATAACGATTTCATCCTTGTCAGTGTTCCAAGTCAGTCCTAACATTTGGCATTCAGTGTTAGTGTAGGATTTAAACTATTGCTAAACAGTTTAATGTCCTGAAGCTCTTGAATCAGTTCTGTAGAATTACTTGTGAACTTCCTCATGTTGAATCCTCCTTCCAGCATTCTCTGTTTTACCTTGAGGGCTAGTTCAGATGCAGATTTGAGATCATCAGCTCCTGATGTATAATCATCAACGTACAAAGAGTTGACAACTTCCTTTACAAATCCTGGATCCTGTTGAGCATACTGATCCAAATGGTGACGTATAGTAGCATTCAAGATGTAAGGGCTTGATGTAAGTCCAAACACCAAACGAGTAAAACGAAAAACTTCAATTGCTGGATCTTCATCTTCTATGTTATTCACCCACACGAATCTGAGAAAGTTTCTGTGTTCTGGAGAAATACTGATGTTCAAGAAGGCTTTTTCGATGTCTGAAGTGATTGCTAGTCTATGTGTTCTAAATCTGAGAAGGATGTCAAATAACAGTGGTGTAAGACTTTGACCAGTATAAAGACAGTCATTGAGACTTGGACCAACATTTTTGGGTCCTTTGCTAGAAGCATCGTAGACAACACGAAGTTTTGTAGTGGATCGATCTGATCGCATTACTTCACGATGAGGTAGGTAGTGAACGTGCCCTACTTTTTCTCCGTCATTCGTGTCTGTCACTCTTTCCACAACTCCTTTCTCAATTTGATCCTTGATTACTTCATCATATTGTTTCAAAGTTTCTGGTTCCTTACGAAGTCGTGTAATCAATGAATGTAGACGTTTAACTGATGTGCTGTGATTGTCAGGGATCATAAAGTGCTTTGCTGAGATCCATATCGATGAATTAGATCCGATGAATTTCCTTCGTAATGATATTCTTTCGAGAATTCAGAAGATTTCGCTCACACGATGCACAACTATAAGCATCCGGCTCGAAGGACCATGTTGTATTTTCGATTCTTTCTTTATCGTTGTTTCCTTGAATAAACTAAGCAGAATACGACTAAGCTGTGTTGTATTTTCGATTCTTTTCTTTACATGTTAACACAAACTATCCGTCTCGACTTACTATTCTTCCCGCTCCTTCTCTCACTCTCTCTCTCGATTTACACGTGCGAATATGCAAATTAAGTTCATAGTCTGTTACGTCATGATCTCGCACAAGAGCAGACGGCGTTTGATGCAAATAAAATCGAGAAACCAAACAAAAAAATGCGTTATTGATTGGTCCCTATTAGGGGTGAAATTTCATCACTGCCACGCACATCATCCCAAAATACAGGTCTCTTTTAGGGGTCATTTTTGGAAATTTCCGACGAGGACCCCCGCCCCCTTTTATAAGGGAGTCCAGCCCCCCGTGTTTCTGTAGCACCTTCACAGGATAACGGTACCCTAACAGGCTCAGAATCTGTGTTTTTACATTTTTTGTCGCCGCATTTTTGTAGGCCTGCATTAAAGGAATCAAGTCTTGCAAATCAGTTCCTCTATCTAATCTGAGGCAGGAATGAAAAAGTTGTTGGCCAGCTTTTGGTGCTATAATCTCACAAACAATGCCACATGCTTCGGAAGCCTTTTCTATACACTCCTTTTTCTCGTTTTCGTTTCAAATAAGCATTTATCTTCCATTTTACCGGCAAAATAAAAGCCCAATAATTTTTTTTCCAGTGTAACATCGACTAACACAATATTTATTGTGTCAGCGGTCTCCCCCATAGGTCGAACCTCTGCGAAAGCAGCAATAACACGAAATGCTTAGATTTAGGAGTGATGTTCGCGAGTAGTATTCTTGGATTTTAAGTCCTTCGTATTTTTTTGCAATTGAAATTTATCCTCGAATGTTTTGGGTAACGTTGTCTGTTAAATGCACTGCTCGACCAATCTCAAAAGAGAAAATTCGACTACTTGAAATTCCATTATATCGAGCCTTTGATGACTCACCGCTGGAACACCTTTGGCTAGTGTATTAATGTTGCGAACGGTCAATATTCTCTTCAAACGGGAACTATATGGACTTTTTGTGATCTGAAAGTATTCTAGCATGGCTTGAGAGGAAAAGAGGTCGACATAGGAAGCAGGTGAGCTGTATATTACATAAAATGTACTCGTACGATGCCTTACCGATCTGATACTTCAACTCGAAAACCTCTCCAAGGTATACAAACAAAAACGGTCATAACTTTTTAAAAAATGAAAACGTACACAGGTTATTGCTGATTTGTATCACTAAATGATAGAAGTCTTCGGTTATGCAGGCAAAAGCTTGAAGACAAGTGCCACTTTTCAATTCAAGCTCTTATTTTGTGGTCATTTTTAGCCTTCACTGACACCGTACGTCTCAAGTAGGGCTCATATTCTGCTGGTTTTCTTGCTAACGGCTAAACGGATTGAATAAAGCCTTTTATATCGAGTGAAACTACAAGAGTTTACCTACAGTTTGGCCTAAAAAAAGTTTCTGGAAACCACGAAATTATGTTTATAGAGCGCTGTGAATACGTGCTAAAGTTTTGGTCAACCAGGGCTCATAACTGGCCCAAAGCCATCAAAAATTTAAAGGCTTCTAGCGCAGCCAAAGTAAAGTTATTTCAGTGATAAACTCAGTGAAGTCTTTCAACAGGCCCGTAGCGGGGGGAGGGGCCAGGGGGACCTTCCACCCCCCCCCCTCCCAAATAATTTCACAACTTTTTTTAAGTAAACGTCTTCAAACACTATTATCTTAAAATTGATAAAGGCGACTCATTTTTCCGAAAAAAGTTCACATAGTTGGCATTTGTAAATGATGAAAACTCAAAACAAGACATGTAGAAAAGCACATACTTAAAAGAAACCTCTCAAATGCTTCACATAATTTGCATTTAGGCCCTGGCTAAACGAGGAAACAAGTTTCCAGAAACATGTTTCCCGCGCGCATGTTCCCCGATGACCAAGTTTAGCTACATGCGAAACATTGTTGCGTGCAACAAATTTTGCTTCCAAGAGGCAAAAATGTTTAGCTGCTGTGCGGCAGAAACATTTCATGCTTCCAAGACGCATGGAAACAATGTTTCCCAATGTTTCCACGTTTAGCCACGAAAGTCAACATTCTAAACGCTAGCTCTATCTTGAAAGTGCGCATGCGCTAACCGATATTGAGTAAACATGTTTCCCGATGTTTCCTGACAGTTTTGCCACCTTTGGAAACATTTAACAAAACATGTTTCTGGAAATATGTTTCCTCGTTTATCCAGGGCCTTAGAAATTCGTGTCTGAACCTTGTCGATTATATTTTCGGCTTCTTTTATTAAATCAACTCAGACTTAATTAAAGGTAACTGGTTCTTTTTATATAAAGTCAGCTGTGTGCTTCATATACATATGTTGAATTTCTATTTTTTGCTTGTACACTGACGTGACATTATTGAATAGAGATATTCACATGTTCGATGCTGAAGGTCTAAGTTGCCCATAAAATAAATAATTTTAATTATCAATTATGCTGTTTTGAAAATTTGATAAAAGTTGATACGGTCATATGGGGTGTGGCAAAATGAGCCCCTTCCCCCCCCCCCCCCCCCACCCAAGATCCTCTGCCTGGATTTGGGTAGGGGGGAAAAACCACTCTATCTGTCAATTTGAAAAGTGCACCTTAGCCCCGCCCTCCCAAAAGCCCCCCCCCCCCCCCCCCCCCCTTAATAATTTTACCCCTGCTACGGGCCTGTTCAATAACCAGAGTTTGAGAAAAATTCATTTTTCAAAATAAATTCAGTGGGCGGCTTTCACTGAGACCGCTAGCCTCTTAATAGCCTGATATCTAAGCTATCGATAGCCTGATAGCTAAGCTATCGATAGCCAGGTAGGGAAGCTATCGATAGCCTGATAGCTAAGCTATCGATAGCCAGGTAGGGAAG